AAATAAAACGTCAAACAATCAACATAAATCAAACATAAAAACATATAATTATGCATTACTAATTAGTGTGCATCATAACTCCCCATAAGAACTACTTCAGACATACAAATTTATGGACTTATGGTATTATATTACCAGTGTCATATTAATGTTTTTAATGTTAAATATGATAGTATAATTTCAAAAAGATAAAATGTACTCCTATTTCGAGAAAAAACATGATGCTTCTATTTTTGAATTTTACATTATTTTAGTTCCTATTTCATAACATTTCCTTGACTACAAGTTATGAATGTCAGCCTCTCCTAGTATGATGAGCATAGAAGCTTTCTCTGTTAGCTTACACGTAACGTTTGAGAAGCCGAATCCTTAATTAGAATGTGTCCCAAATAACTTAACGTTGGAGGTCCCTTTTAATTTTCACAATCATTTGAAGTGAGTTTCATCCACTCAATGGTGTGCAACTTGTAGTACTCCAATGATTTCCAAATTTTCATTGAATGATTTGCCCAAGCCATGTTTAGACAAGAAATTAAAGATTACTCATCCACCGCCAATAGATTTTTCTTAAATCTGTACGCTGAATCTAATTGGTCTTAAAGGCTAATCTAAACAAATTTGGCGTCCAGCTAAACAAAAGTACCAAACAAATTTCTAGATCCAAATCAACTATGTGCAAACAAACTAGAGATAAAACAAGAAAATGAATTAGAGCATAAAACCGCATCATAAGCTGGATTATTAAAGGTATGATATTCTACATTCCTACTTTCTTTACAACAGATTCTAAGAGAAACCAGACCTATACAATACAATATTGAAAAGACAAAATAAAAATCAGTCTATCACAAGACTAAAGCATAGGCAAAATGCACAAATAGTATCGTCATATTTTTCTTTATAAAATAAGACTCGTTCTGAGAAAGCTTTTATACTTTTAATAGGATCAAGTAATTAAGTCTTATTCTGAAAATAAAACATTAGCACTCTTATTTGTATACTTTGCTTATATTTTGGTTCTATATGGAGCAATTTCTTATCTGAAAAATAGAAAAGGAAAATAAGAAGCCATTCTACATTTCTACCATGAAGATGAATCTCGAGCCCAAAGTTTTTTCATACCAAACATGTTTCACTCAGAGAAGGAAAGAATAGGGTAAGTCTTTTACATAACTTGATGGTGAATTATTCAAATTAGTTGAAGAATTCACATTCACATTAAACTTACTTTTGGAACCTCCTAGTAAGAAGAACCAACCTTGTTCGGGGTTATTTGCTGCCAACCTAGCAACATTACTCGGCAAGGTGTCCCGTGTTCCGGAGATACTACGCATGTTTTCTTTTGGACCGTAATTTGCTGGTCTGGTCTGTTCTGTTTAAATTTGGCCTGACCTGATCTGAGTTGGTGTGATCCGTTAAATGTCTGATCTCTATGTATTTTATAACTGTCTAAGTCTGGTGTGGTCTGTTTAAATCTGATCTGGGACAAAGAACCTTCCAAAAGAAACCATGCATCCTAGCTACGTACATAGAGACCACCCACTCTATCAATCAAATTTTGATTAGAGTTCAATACAACCCTTGTGACAAATTGTCACACCTGTGTTAGTCTCTATAGAATGGAGTGCATTTTTTGTGCAATAAGAACCAACCAACCAAATTCGCCTATTAAATGCTTGTTTGTTGATTTTCTTAGATTTTGAGGCTTATAGATCCATTATTGATCCTCCAAAATGGGCTCTAAATAAATCAAAGAATGTGTAGATCAAACACAAAACTCTATGAAAAAGTTCAATCATATAGGATAGGAATTTGCAAGAAGCCAAGGTGAAATATTCATATGTTGGAGATGCTCTAGCTCGACGACTCCAAACTGTGGCTACACATGTTTGTTGTTTCTTGCAAGTAAGAGGGGAAGGTCAAATCGGTAATTGCACACAGGATTCTGAGGGGTCAGTGAGAATTGTCATAAATAAAAGTGAGAAAGGGAAGAAAAGGAAGAGAAGCTCCAACTGGCTGCGGCTGCTGAGCCCAAAGCAGACAAATCCATAAAGCCAATGATGAGAGAGAAAAATAATTAAAACAAAAAAAAACCAAAGAGGATTTCTTTGTTTCTTTGAGTATTTTATACTGCAAGGATACTATACCCAACAAAAAAGAAAGAATCCCCGCAGTGACCTGGTGGATGTCACGGAACCTGAAATAAGGCTGAACCTCTAGTGTGCACGGGTGTATGAGTTACTGACATTCTGCTGACTGAGTCACCGTGACTAACCTCCCCACCATCCTGTCGAGTCGGGGTGGGGGCTCCTGAGGTGGGAGATTCCACCTTTTATCGGATCAAAGAAAGAAAGAAGAAGATAATGTTAGACTTGTTAAGACAGCTGGAGCAAGGAATATGCATGACTACTAATCTAATCTCTCTTTATTAATTTTCCTGGCGCTATGTATTTTACACTTCTGGCGGTTTTGAAATGCCAATAAAGCCTTGAAGAGAAGAAGTCGTGGTGAAGTTAATAATTGTTGAGAGCGTCAAAAGATACCACCGCATTCGGATCTCATGAACACATGCTCTACGTGACTTCAAAAGCTGAAATATTTTATTTATTTGACATCAAGTCATCATCAACCCTTACATACGGACAAAAAAGAGTGACACAGTTATTAAGAAAACCCGATATACCGAGTATGTGATAGGGAGTATTAGATTGATAAAGTATAAATAAAGTAAGAATGGATCGTAACCGTTCAGATTTTATCAAATTAAATACAATACCTTGTATGAGACAAATTTAATGACACAGACCGAAAATGTTAAATGAGATAAAGAGACATAAATAATATACATGTTAATTTAATTATTATCTTGTTCACAGTGGTGCAGTAACGAGGGGTTGGAGCTAGGGAGTATCCTCCAATCTTTAGTAAAAAGGATGACACCCGTTCGCGGCATCAGCCGAACAGTTAATTAGGATATTGTAAATTGAACTTTAATTATAACCTGACAAATAGCGAGTGAGGCTCTGATCTGGGTACTTAGTAAGACCCTATACATTTTAATACAGTAATATCTCATCGCAGTTGTCAGAATTCGAACTCGAGACTTATCCCTTGTGACATTTTCTATCTATCAGTTGAGCTACGACCATCTGACGCCCAAATTTTAGCCTTCCTCCCTAGAAAGTATTATGGCTCCACAAGTCCTATGAGTATGAAACTTATGAGTCACCGGTGTGCGTATCAACAAGGGTTAAATACCAGGTTCGAATCCCGGCAACTGCGATGAGAGGTTACTATACTAAAAATGCATAGGGTCTTTGCAAGTACCGGGGACAGAGTCTCACTCTCTATCTGTTAGATTGGGATTATAGTCCAATTTACGTCCTCCCAACGTACGTCGGGGTTGGGGCCCCCTCAGGGATGATGTGTCATCCTTTTTTTAACGAAACTTATGAGTCATTGATATGTTTGACTAAGTTTAGGGCCAAAAAGTCAAGTTAAACTCAGATCGATTTGAACTCGACATGTCCATCTAATCGGATACGAGCTACAACCCAACTTTTTATGATCAAGCCCAATTTAATGTATGGTTTATGTGTATTTTACTAAAGTCCATCTTCAATTTGATCTAGTATGTGGTCTACTTTTTTAAGTCTGATATGATCTAAGACTAAGAAACCTATTAAAATGAAAACATACTAAATATAGAACACTACGATGCGAATGAGTTATGTAAGAATTAAGAATACTATTGTTATTTTAGGGAGTGTTTAAAATTAATTTTACTTGTGTTTTATTTTTTAAAAGCAAAATGAGAATTAGCTTTTCTAAAACTGGCCTTCCCCGGACCCCAACTTCTAAAAAATTGTTCTCGAGATTAATTTAAAAACCCAAATGATTAATTTGGAACACTCAAAAGTAGTTATGTACTTTAAGTCTTTAACCCAAATATTGAAGATGAATTTACCCATACACATCTTTCAAGCATTATTATAAGTTATAACTGAAACTTCTTTACATACTTCGACTCACTGGAGTACTTCGTATTTATTAGGGAAAATTTCCGAAATAGGACTAAAGAAATTTGAAAATTTCAAAATACGACTGTCATGTTTTTTATTTCCAAAATAGGAGTAATTATTGCCAAGTTTAGAAAATAGTGTCATGTTTGAAGTCTGGTACTGCTAAAACATGGCAGTAATTAGTCATATTTTGGGAATAAAAACATGACATTTATATTTTGGAATTTTCAAACCTTTTTAGTCCTATTTCGGGTAATATTCTATATTTATTAAAACAATGAACAGCTTGCATCGGGTCAAGTAAGTCAATATTAAAAATTTAAAACTACCGAAACAGTTAAAAAGATAATTTATAAAGACCAATTAACTTTGATATGATTGGAATAACACGGTCCAATTTTCTCGCAATCTGATTCACTTTGATCCTATAATTTCAGAGAATCAAATTTTAATCCAAACTAGTTCTGGTCTTGAATCGGGTTCAACCCTACCATTTGATTTCAAATAATCTTTGGATAAAATGGAACAGAAGCCAAACTAACATGAATGGGCATGGAGTAAACCTCACCCCATAAGCTAATCCATAAATATGCCAACAAATAAGAAGACCTTTCTCATTACAAACATTGATTCATGCCACTCAAACTTCTAGACTACTCTAGATGCTATATAAATGTTAGGTGAATTAAAGAAGGCAAGCTACCCAACTTGGTTTGTATTATCATTTTGGGTTAGGATGAATATCTTGTTAAAGTGTCACCAAAACCTCACACTAATCATCTTACTTAGCTTCATTATTTATTTACTCATGCTATGGAATATGGATTGGAGTAAAGAAACTTCTCCATTAGTCAATTATTACTATTATTATAAGGTAGAATAAGAATTACTAAGTTGGACTGACCATACTGGGAAAACTGTACCATTTTTGTTTGTTTATGCAACCGAATTGATACTATTCAGATAGTGAGTGAGAACTTTAAGAAAAGTGTGTATTAACAACTTACAACTACCACAAACAGAACATGAAAAATGAAAACAAAAACAAAAAAGGGGTTAAAATGGTATTCAACTTTTAATACTTTAATTTTCTCATGTCTGTTGATGGAATGGAACTATCCATTTCATAAGATTGCAAAAATTAAATTAAAAACCTCAGCTTTAAATTTCTTTCTTTATAAAAAGATTCCAAAACATGGGTGGTGGTGACTTTACTTAACTACCCTCAAGAGTTCTTCACTGCATTTGCATCTGAAACAGCTGAAACGTCATCATCCTCCATTGGAGCTGGCAAGTTGAGATCAATCATAAGCTTTGATGAACACGAGCCCGAGCCCGAACCCGAACCGGAACGGGAAGGGGAACCAGAGCATGCTGCTTTTTCTGTGGGGGGAGAGAAAAGGTGTGACCTCTTGTGCCCGCCCAGAGCCTGACCCGACCCGAAAACCCTCTTGCAAAACGGGCATTCATGCATTTTCTGATCATGCACTTTGACCCCAAGATTTCTTGGTTTTTCTTCAGATTCACCCTTCCGGTGAGTCGTTTTGTGACTGCCCAGTGCCTGCGAAGACTTGAACTGCTTCCAACAAACCTCACACTGAAACTTTTCTTGACGGCCCTTCGTCTCCGGCGATCCCCAGACATCCTGCGACATCATCATGAGACACCTGGCGATCTCCTCCTCGCCGGAGAAAGAACTCAAAACCGATTCCGGCGACTCAGACACCTTCCCTTTCCCCTTCTCTCCCCCGCCATCTGCTTGCGCGAAAAAGATCCGCCGGGCCCGCTTGGATCTCCGCCGAGTCGACAACCGAGTCGACTCGCTCTCGCTCTCCCTGTCAAAGAACTCAGGATCTACCCACCGGGAGCTCTTCCGCGGGTTCTCCCTCAACCCGTAACTGCCGGCTCCCTTCTCCTCCTCCTCCTCCGAGCAGAGAGACAGAGTGGATTCGCTCCGGCCACCGCAATCACCGGAATCTTGAAGAGGCGGCGGCGTCTTGGGCGGCAGAGGTAGAGCGGCCAAATGGGACCTCATGTGCCCACCCAGAGCTTTCCCATTGACGAACTGCTTGGAGCAAAGCTTGCACTTGAACTTCTCCATGGCCAAAGAATCCAAAGATCAGAGCTTTAGAGACTTCCTCTGTTTCTTGATCTTTAAAGACTCTTAGTTTTCTTCACCAGAAAAGAAACATGGCAGCATTAAGTTGAGGGAGTAGAGAGGGAGTGGGAAGCTAAGGCCAAAAGGAGTAGTTGACAAGCATTTTAGTAAGCAAGCACCGAAGGAAAAGGCTTATATATAACGCCAAACAGGCTTTGGTATTCCGTATAGCTCAGATTCACGGATCACGGCAGGTGAATGTTAGTAGCTCTGTCTCGAAATTAATTCAACACTGCAAGAAAATAAACAATTCTAGTCAAATAACTTGAAAATGCAAAAAAGTAAAAACCTATAAAAGTTAGGGTGCATTTACTCCAAGGGTTTTGCTCAATATAGACCATATATAGTTTATACCATTGTCTATGCTTTTACTCCATTCTAACCTTTTTATCTTTATTGTTCTTTTTTTGTCCAGCGCTAAATAGCTCCTTTTTTTTCTTTTAATGAAATAGTTCTATAGCTATTTTTAATTGCGGAGTAAAGAGTAGTTTCTTTTCTTAATAGATTACAACTATACTTTTTTGAAATACGTGTAAAGTCAAATGCAAGGAGAAAATAGACGGAGGATAAATCATTTTTGTTTGCACCAACATGTTGTAAACTTGTAATGTTATCTTTGTGAGTAGTGAGACGTTTCTAATTTTCTATGTGAACATCAACCCCAATGTTCCTCCATTATTCTTTGTTTTTATTTTTTTGATTCCCTTTTGTAAATTTTTCATTTTCAATTACTTCCTCCGTCCGCCTGTAATTCTCCCATTTTTCCATTTTTGGATGTTCCTTTATTATTGTCTCATATCATATTTGGTAATATTTATGTGATTCTAATTCATTCTTACTTTATTTCCACTTTATCAACTCATTACCAACCACATAATTCTACTTTTCTTAAAAACCACACAACTCCCTTCCGTACCAATATTAGGGGGACGGAGGGAGTAATATTTTGAAATCAGCTAGGGTTGAAGCTTCAGCCGCGCCCATCCGGTGGCCTAAGGACACAAGACACAGTCGCGCTCATCCGTTGGCTATAAGGGCATCGCTTCAGCAACGGTCATTTGACGCTAAGGATTGCAGCATACCTTGTGTTACGATTTAGGTTAAGTAAAACGATAAATTAAAGAACTAAAACACAAGAATTTACGTGGTTCATACAATCGGGGTGATTGTGCTAGTCCACGGCGAACGAGAGAGAGCAGTATATTATTATCGGCGTCAGGGTTTACAAGTACATAAGAGTTGTTTAAATAGGTTTAAGAAAACCTAAACAGTGATTTAAGTCGCAGGCCCAAAAATTAAGCCCGTATTAAAATATTCCCGCATACCCGGCCGGGTACCCTCCTGTACCCGGTAGGGTATCTATTCTAGAAAACCATTCTTCACGCTACCTGGTCTGGTAGCCAGGCGGGTATCTCCTCTGGTTCAAAATTGTCAACATACCCAGTCGGGTATCACCTCCAGAAAGTTGCCCGGCCAAAATCATCTTCATACCCGGACGGGTAACCCAACATACCCGGTCGGGTGACTGCTCTAGCTTTCAGAACAAGGCTCCATCTTCAACAATCTCCCACTTGGAGGCTTGTTCAATCAATCATCTGTCATCCAAGAACATGTATCCTCTGTAAAACCCCTGATCTCTCTCTCGTTCACGCCTTCTCATCAAGTATCTGGAAGGCCAGTTGAAACCATGCATAACTTCAACTTCTCCGTTGTCACCGCCTTGGTAAGCATGTCTGCTGGATTCTCCGTACCAAGGATCTTTTTCAAATTTATAGTACCATCTTCAATCAACTCTCGGATGAAATGGTATCTCATCTTGATGTGTTTCGTTCTACTGTGAAACATCGGATTCTTCGCGAGATGAATAACACTCTGGTTGTCACAATATAGACCGCAATCTCCCTGCTTCATGCCCAACTCCGAAAGAAAGTTCTTCAACCAAATCAACTCTTTGGCCGCTTCAGCAAGGGCCATATACTCTGTTTCTGTGGTTGAAAGAGCGACACTCTTTTGTAGTCTGGACATCCAACTGATCGTCGTACCTCCAATAGTGAACACATACCCCGTAGTGCTCTTCCCGGAATCATAACAGCCCCCCAAATCAGCATCGGCAAATCCTTCTAGGATTACACCATTCCTTCTGAAACAAAGGACAGTTTCAGAAGTGCCTTTCAAGTAGCGTAACAGCCACTTGACTCATTCCCAATGTTCCTTCCCTTGATTTGGCATGAACCTGCTAACAACTCCCACTGCATGAGCAATGTCCGGCCTTGTTGACACCATCACGTACATCAAACTGCCAACGGCTGATGCATAAGGAACTTTAACCATTTTTTCTTTGTCTTAATTGGTCTTTAGAGACTGCTCCTTGGAGAGTTTCAAATGACTCCCTATCGGTGTACTCCTTGGTTTGGCATCCGTCATTCTGAACTTCTCAAGGACTTTCTGAATGTACTTCTACTGTGAAAGCTTTAAAGTACATTCCACCTTGTCTCTGACTATGCTCATCCCAAGAATCTGTCTCACCTCCCCTAAATCCTTCATCTCAAATTCTTCGGACAATTTCTTCTTAAGGTTGTTGATCTCCTGCATGTTTGATCCAGCCACCAACATGTGATCAACATACAAAAGAAGGATAATGTATGATGACTTGAATTTCTTCAAGTAACAGCAATGGTCCATCTTGCATCTAGTGTACCCATTCCGCTGCATAAAACTGTCAAACTTCAAGTACCACTGTCTAGGAGCTTGCTTTAGTCCGTATAGACTTCTCAAACTTCAAGTACCACTGTCTAGGAGTTTGCACCCATCACAATCACGACTGAGCCCAACTCAGGATCTAAAGGACCGGGCCAAATAGGCAGGTAAGTCGAGCGGATGGCGAAACAAAGACAAGACCTCTCTCAAAAAAATAAATAAATAAAATAAAGAGAGGCACGGGGGAATCTCCAAAGGGGATAAACCCGTTTCCCATCACAATCACGGCCGAGCCTAGCTCAGGACCGGGCCGAATGGGTAGGTAAGTCGAGCGGATGGTGAAACAAAGAAATGGGGAATCCCCAAAGGGGATAAACCCATTTCATATCACAATCACGGCCGAGCCCAGCTCAGGATCCAAAGGACCGGGCCAAATGGGCAGGTAAGTCGAGCGGATGGAGAAACAAAGACAAGGCCTCTCTAAAAAATACAGAGAGGCACTGGGAATTTCCAAAGGGGATAAACCCATTTCCTATCACAATCACGGCCGAGCCCAGCTCAGGATCCAAAGGACTGGGCCAAATGGGCAGGTAAGTCGAGCGTATGGCGAAACAAAGAAATGGGGAATCCCCAAAGGGGATAAACCCGTTCCTCACTGACTACGTTGGCTACACTCGGCTCAGGATCCAAAGGACCAGGCTAAACAAGCGGGTACGACGAGCGGATGACGGACGAAACAAAAGAATCCCAAGATGGATCAAATAAAAGAATCCCAAGATGGATCAAATAAAAGAATCCTAAGAGGATCAAACAAAAGAATCCCAAGAGGATCAAACCGTTCCTCACAGACTACAAAAGCTTAGGTCAACTCAGGATCCAAAGGACCGGGCCAAATGGACAGGTACAATGAGCAAAGGAGGACCACTGTCATATGCAACACGATCGGCCCCTCAGCACCGACGTGTCTAGCTCATCTTTGGTTTCGCTCACTCCCTCCAGGATGGAGACGGCCGTATTATGCAGCACGATCGCCCCCTCAGCGCCATCGTGTCTAACTTATCTTCGGTTTCGCTCACTCCCTCCAGGATGGCGACGGCCGTATTATGCAGCACGGTCGGCCCCTCAGCGCCATCGTGTCTAGCTCATCTTCGGTTTCGCTCATTCCCTCCAGAATGGCGACGACCATCTCATGCATCACGATCGACCCTCAGCGCCGACGTGTCTAGCTCATCTCCGGCTTCTCTCACTCCCTCCAGGATGGCGACGACCATATTAAGCAGCATGATCGGCCCCTCAGCGCCATCATGTCTAGCTCATCTTCGGTTTCGCTCATTCCCTCCAGGATGGCGACAACCGTCTCATGCATCACGATCGGCCCCTCAGCACCGACGTGTCTAGCTCATCTCCGGCTTCGCTCACTCCCTCCAGGATGGCGACGGTCGTATTATGTAGCATGATCGGCCCTTCAACGCCATCGTGTCTAGCTTATCTTCGATTTCGCTCACTCGCTCCAGGATGGTGACGGCCGTATTATGCAGCACAATCGGCCCCTCATCGCCATCGTGTCTAGCTCATCTTCGGTTTCGCTCATTCCCTCGAGATGGCAACGACCGTCTCATGCATCACGATCGGCCCCTCAGCGCCGACGTGTCTAGCTCATCTTCACCTTCGCTCACTCCCTCCAGGATGGCGACGACCGTATTATGCAGCACGATCGGCCCCTCAACGCCATCGTGTCTAGCTCATCTTCAGTTTCGCTCATTCCCTCCAGGATGGCGATGACCGTCTCATGCATCACGATTGGCCCCTCAGCGCCGACGTGTCTATCTCATCTCCGGCTTCGCTCCCTCCCTCCAGGATGGCGACGACCGTATTATGCAGCTTGATCGGCCCCTCAGCGCCATCATGTCTAGCTCATCTTCGATTTCGCTCATTCTCTCCAGGATGGCGACGACCATCTCATGCATCACGATTGGCCCCTCAGTGCCGACGTGTCTAGCTCATCTCCGGCTTCGCTCACTCCCTCCACGGTGGCGACGACCGTATTATGCAGCATGATCAGCCCCTCAGTGCCATCGTGTCTAGCTCATCTTCAGTTTCACTCATTCCCTCCAGGATGGCGACGACCGTCTCATGCATCACGATCGGCCCCTCAGCGCCATCGTGTCTAGCTCATCTTCGGTTTCGTTCATTCCCTCCAGGATGGTGACGACCATCTCATGCATTACGATCGGCCCCTCAGCGCCATCGTGTCCACTCCGCGGTTCGGCTCACCCATCCCTTCCAGGGTGGCGACGACCATCATAGCAGCACGATCGGCCCCTCAGCGCCGACGTGTCTAGCTCATCTTCGGCTCGCCCATACCTTCCAGGATGGCGACGAACGTCTTATGCAGCACGA